GTAAGCGAAGGACAGCATCAGCAGGAGAACCAGACGGCCTCAACGGAGAGACAGAGAACGGAGAAGGCACAGACCATGTCCTTAGAGAACTAGCAGTCACACCCAAGCTTTCGAGTCCCGCCGGGTTAGTCTCGGCATCATCACTCTGTCAACTGGTTGTCAAGACACTTCTAACACCCACGTGCTGTCATTTATTTGTTTAGGAATTTATTTAATGGATTTTATCCTGGCTCATGCTCTGTCTAAAATGTCCACCCTTTAAGCCTTTGCCACGACTTCTGCTGTACCCTTTCCTAGTGAGTGCCTGCACATAGTAGGTGTGTACCAAGCACTGTTGACTGGCTGGTAAAATATGAAATAGCTGGGGCTCAATGAACACTGAACATCATTAAAACTAGTAACAGAAATTTCCTGAGGTAAGTGCTTAACCTCAAATGTTTTATTTTATATAGAAAGTAATAGATTATCATAAAAACAAAATTCAAAGGTCTTTATATGCTTTAAAAATGTAGGTGCCAGGTTCCAAATATTAAAAATGATGAGATAAGGCAAGGTCTGGCTCTAATCTGCTGAGAGGTCTCTAAGAATACATTTGGTTAAAATAAAATTCAATGCTACTTTCTGGGTTTTGTACTAATAGGATTCTCATTAAAAAGAACTACTTCTATCTCACAGAAATAATTTTAAGGATTCATGTACTATTCAGATTTATTTATTGTTATTTTTTATTTAAAAGTAGTGAAAGGAAGAAATGGGGTACTGTTTTATTATTTTGATTTTTAATATCTTATAACATTTAAATACATTTAAGAGAAACAAACACAAACAAAACACTACATATCTTTCTTTTGTTCCTCGAAACAAATGGCAAACCAATATTACAACAAAATGTGGCAGAGTTTTTTAATTTGGAAAGATTGTAGCTTCACCCCTACACGCTCACTCACATGGTAAGAACCTAATTCTGAGACCTCCTGTGCATTAACAACAGGTTCCCAAGGAGGTCCACACTTGTTGGATAAAGCTTCTTCAGGGCCATCCACGTCTTTCTAAGTTTTTCATGCTGTCACCTCTATTCACCACAGGTTAGGTACCTTACATACATCATGTCTCAGTGTGAACGGAAGCTGTGGTTGAAGAGCCTCTGTCATGAATGTGGCTACCATACGTCTGAGAGAACACTGAGGTTGTGAACTCTCTTCACCCTTTGCAGATATTAGACAAGATGAACAGAACATCAGTGCCACCGAGGGGGCAGCCTCTCTCAGAGCACAGCCAGCGGTGACAAACTCCCAGCCATTTGATATCCTCCTCCAAGCTTTTAGGTGTTTCCTCTGTGCGAGGCAGCGTGGGAATGAGGAACCTGGGATGCAGTTTACTTGACAAGATCAGCATAGCAGCCGCTTGCTGACGTTAGCAGGGAGGAGGAGGAGGAGGAGGAGGAGGAGGAGGAGGAGGAGAGGGGGGGTTCCATTAGCGCTCTTGACTGTAGGAAGATAAGTCACAACTAGTTTTCCTTGGCACACATGTCCTACAGTTCACCAGCACACAGAAAGTGTCTTGAAATAGTTAAGATGACTATGTTTCAATATAGCGCTGTCTAAAACAACCTGCACCTGTTGTAAGTGAGCGTTGCAACACTGGGGGAAAGGTGTCCTGACTGCTTGGGGGAGTCAGGCAATACCTTGAGCTGCTAGGAGAGCTCTGGCGGCTGGAGCTGCAATGGGACAGCTCTGCTCTGAAGGGAAAGGTATCCTGACTGTTCAGGAGTCAGGCTACACCTGGAGTTGGGGTGCAGTTGGGGATGATCTCCCCACAGGATATAGCAATCCTGCTCCTCTCCTGGAGAGCTGAGCTTTGCTCAGCCCCCACTTTAGGGGGCTTCCCAGTAGAACTTGGCTTCTTTTCTAGCCTAAGATGTTGCTTCTTTTTGTTTCACTCTGCTAAAGGGGAACCCCTGCAGAAATGGAGCGATCCCCCCTTCTTTCTGCTCCCCCTTGCTCAGTCCCCTCAGGGACACCTTAGCACGGTTCTTCCTTCAGCCCTGCCTTACTCAGTGCCCCACCTCACCCCTGCAAAGGGGACATCCCTGCAAGTTTGTTCTGCTCAGTCCACTACGGGACATCTCAGCAAGGTTCTTCTCTGCACTGGCAAATGGAGATCTTAACACCCAAGACTCTTTTGAGAAAGAGATTTATTTGGTAAGGAGAAATCTAGGAAAGTTGCTGGCTCTACCAGGGTGGGAAAGAATGGCCCACAACTGAACAGACAGGGTGGTTTATATAGGATTTCTTAGGGGTGGAATTTCTCCAGGGAGAAGATTTTCTGTCAAGGGATTGGTTAGTTTTTCTTGCTCAGCGAGTGGTTAGTTTTGTTGGTTAGGAGCAGGGATGGCCCTGATTTCAGAGCCAAACTATGTTTCTTTCACTGGCCTTTCTTAGCTTTTTGGCTCTAATTCTTAGGCCAGGGCACATTTCTTTCACTGGCTCTGATTCTAGGGACAAAGTGTGTTTCTTTGCCACTGGCTGGTTTCAGAGTCAGGGCATGTTTCTTTGGTTCTGGGTTCAGGGATAAAGTGTTTTTTTTCTCTGGCTCAGGTCCCAGATCCAGGCTGTGTTTCTTTCACTGGTTCTGGGCTCCAGGGTCAGGGCGGGTTTCTTTAGCTAGCCCCTTTCCCCTACACCTGTGATTTAAATACAATGTTGTCTGAAGAGCAGAAATCATGGGACAACCTTAAAAGCTCTGTCTGTTTTGGTTCAAATTCCTACTAAAAACACCAGTAACCAAATTTGCTTTCATGTGCACTGTTTTAAAGTAATGCTTCCTATTTTATGTATTTTAATCAAGTAAACAGCTATTACCTACCTGGACAGGACTTTTGTGTCTCAGGATTTTAAGTTGAGCTTTTATAATTTCTAATGCAGCAGCATCTGTACTCAGCTTTTCTAGGATCATAGTTAAAGCTCGAGAGGGACTCATTTAAGGTTAAACTGGAGGTCACAGTATTATGTGTTTACTGTCTACCAAATATTTCATAACAACAGCACTGAAGAGTCAAGTTTAAGATACATACATTACATATTTTTAAGATTCTTCCATCATATAGTGAATTATGGTAAACATCAGGGTACTCTGCCCCTGAATCCTATAATTCAGTCATAATCCAATATGATACTTCACGCCTTTACTAATCATTGCTACAAAATACTAACAATGTAAAGAATGCTAACTATTTTATAGTACTTTGGTAAAACTTGTGGCCCATAGTGTTAGTTTCTACTTCCAGACTAAGACATAATCCGTGTGATTTTACTTTCCTTTTCCCTTCTGGAAACATGGACTCTGCAGAGCTGAGGTTAAGTGGTTAACAAAGAAGATGAGCTCACTGACTTCAAGGAATCCATGGTCTTCCGGAGGACAGAGACACCAGACAGAGAATTTAACAGATACCAGCTTATTTCTAAGTTAATGCCATGTGATGCCTTCCAGACAAGCTTGCCTGCTTGTGCTCTTAAGCAAGGCCAATCTTGCCAGCCTTCATTGCATTTTCTGTCTTGATTTTAAGGAAACTCAAAGATAAATGTTATGATGTTAATGTGGTTGTTTTATTATATGCTAATGGCCAATTACTTTCATTTTGAACTAGTTTCTAGTTTAATAAAAATGGCTGTTTTAACTATGATGTCATCTATCTCTCTTATTTCTTAAAGCCTACCCAAAGGAAAGGCCATAGGGAGAGGACTCAGGGACAGCCATTCTACCGCAAGGACTTCTTAAAGATGTGTTTGCAATTGCATTTTAAAACTTCAACTGTTCTAGATAACTTGAATTGTTCTAGATACTCATTTTTGTATAAAGCAATATAAAATTTTATACAGGTTCTAATCTGGAGTTACCTTTAAAGCCTGTGATGATGTCTAAAAACAAGGATTTCAATTACTGTTAGCTCCACAACAGAAACAAGAGCTGATTAACATTTCATAGAAATACCACAGAACATGCTATGTTAAAAAAATCAAAATTTCATCATCTTTTAAACTCTACAGTACTTTAATGGTGCTTCTAATAGTGCCTAACACTTGGAAGGATTCCACTGTTTGGCTCCTACAAAGTGGTTTTTTGACAGCAAATGTGTAGGAACCAGGATCTATACTGAAACTTGAATCTGAGCCATTTAGACATGATAATGTTGCCCGAATGTGAAGTGGTTTCCATTGGCAATACCATAATATCTTCTCACTGGAGCAAGAAGCTGAGTTTGGGGGATGTTTAGCTACCAAAGAAGCAGACATTATCTAAGTCTTGATCAGATGGGAAAAAAATTGAAAAGGACTTGCTGGCATTCATTCATTAGAAAATGAAAAAACTAAGATGCCAAATAAAGTTAACAGCTCCAAGGAGAAGCTGGAACTTGTGTTCTGAAGGCTTCATCATCACTCTCCTGTTCATTGATGCCAATAAATGTGTATTGAGTTCTTGAGTTCTCACCATGTGCAAAACACAACGCCAGGGGTTTTAGCTGTCATGGTCCAGAAAGACTCAGGTCCTGAGCATATGAGTTTAGACCTTTTCTCCAAATATGTGACCCCTACTTGTTAACCTAATTTCTTGTTTCCTTGATACTAAAAACTTCTTACTCTGCTTTCCAAACCACCTAGTTCCCTCTTACCTGGCTATCATTCCACATAAGTAGCAGAGGGTTTGAAGATAGCAGATTTTTAATGCATGAACTGAAGAAGAGAACACAATGTGCTTACTTCTAAAGGTAGATAGAAAAGAGGTCATGTCCTTCTGTCAGATATCTTTATTTTAAACTCTGTACATTACTCAACACAGTGTATCATATACCAGATATGTAAAATGGTTTATTAATCCACAATATGCAAATAATCAACATTAATTTAGCATTCACCATGCTTTCAAAAAGTTTAATTACCTTATTTGTGTACATATGTGTTATGGTAGTTTGAATGTGATATGGCCCCCATAGGCTCATACATTTGAATAGTCCCTAAATAGTGAAATAGTTTTGGGAAGGATTAGAAGATGTAGCCTTGTTGGAAGAAGTATGTCCCTGGGGGTAGGCTTTGAGGTTTCAAAAGCGCATTCTCAGCCCAATCTCTCTTTCTCTTTGCCTCTAATTGGCAGATCAGGAGGTAAGTTCTTTGCTACTGCTCCAGTGCCATGCCTGCTGCCTGCTGCCCACCACGATGATCATGGACTCTCACCCTCTGAAACTGTAAGTGAGCCCCCAATTACAAGCTTTCTTTTATAAGGTGTGTGTGTGTGTGTGTGTGTGTGTGTGTGTGTGTGTGTGTGTGTGTGCAGGGACACAAATGCCATGGCACATATGTGGAGGTCAGAAGACAACTCTTTGGAGTTTATTCTCTCTTGTCAGAGTGAGATCCGAGGATTAAAATCAGGTTATCAGGCCTGCGCATAAACATCTCTAACCACTGAGAAATGTCACAGATACTCAATATTCTTTATATGGAATTTTCACAATATGCGTTATCATTACAGTCATTTTAGACATGGTATAATCAAGTTCACAGGAATTAGGTAACTCAGGTAGATAGTGACCTATGGAGGCAGGAATATATCCTAGTTAGCTTGACTGCAACCCACTGCAAAGTAGCATACGTTAAAGTCCAGATGAATAGCAGACATCACATGTTCTTTGGATGATGTGATTAGTAAAAACAAGCAGTGGAGACACTTCTATGCAGAAAGTGAACCTGATGTGGGTTTTAGAAAGAAAGTAGGAGCCAGAGGGAGAGGGGTCACAGACACCACAGCAAAACCCACAGAATCAACTAACTGGGGCTCATAGGGGCTCACAGAGACTGAACCAGCCAGGAGGCATTCATGGGACTGACCGCTTAGTCCTCTTGTGGAACTCCAAACAGTGGGAGCAGGGGCTGTCTCTGATTCTTTCACTGGTTTTTGAGACCCTATTCCTCATACTGGATCACTTCGTCCAGTTTTAATACACGGGGAGGCGGTTGGTCTCACTGCAACTTGATATGCCATGGTTTGTGGATATCCATGGGAGACCTGCCCTTTCCTGAACAGAAATGGAGGAGGCGTGGACTGGGGGGTGGGAACAGGGTAGGTAGAGGTGGGGGACTAAGAGGAGAGGAGGGAGGGGAAACGGCTGCTGGGACATGAAATAAACGAATAAGTACATAAAATAAAAGAAGAAGAAAGTAGGAATAGTTGAGTTCCGGGGAAACAGTAACGCAAGTGAAAAGAGGATGGAGAGCAACGCTCGTAACTAGCTTTGGCCGAGAGAGAGCTCATGCACAGAAGTAGACCCTGCTAGGAACAAGACACAAAGGACACAAAATTTGAGTTTCAATTCTCTAGGCAGAAGAGGGAAAATAAATTATTTTTCATACAGAGAAAGATAAAAAAGCTGCTCTCCAGAGAGATATGTAGGATATAACAGCAAACAAGAGATTGCAGACAGGAGCCCAGAGAGAGGATGGAGAAGGTGGGGTCAAGGCAGTGGCCCTGAGAATCAAGAAGAAATTACAAATCAAACAGATGACTGGCATGCTGTAAAGGGGTTAGTCAGACTGTCTTGGGTGACACACTGATACTATCATTAACAGCAACAGTAATATTTTAATAAAATAGAAACAATTCCTATAAACAATGGCTTAGTACATGATAGGACACTGATAATGAACCTGACATCAGGCCACAACAGACAGCAGAATGATGAAAGGACAAAGGCTGTTCCTGTTCTCACAGGCTTGAGAGTTTATGAGAAAAGAAAGTAGCTGTAATAACATGGATGAGTTTGCTAGGAATACAGAGATAAATATGCTTATGATGGAGCGACAGAGCTATGGGGACATAAATAAGGAGCACACACAGAGTAGAGTTTGGGACTTCTCTGAGAAAATCATCGTTAAATAATGGCTTTGTTAGTAGTTGGGAACCCTGAACCAAGAATGACATGCTGAGAGTGCTAGTCACAATGCCTTCTCAACAACAGCTCCTTCTTAGGAAGCTACATTGCTACCAGACCTATTTCAGGACAATAAGTGGTCAACCCCACTCATGGTTGAATGTACCAGGGACAAGGACTGAGCTGATACAGCCAATCCACTGACCTGTCACATATGGTCTTGAGAAAATGAATGAAAAGAAACTATTTTCTTAAGAGTTTGAATAGAAGAAACTAAGAAAGAAAATGCCATGTGTCCCATGAGCAGAAGAGCTCTCTTTTGTAGAGCAATGTTAATTTCTGATGACTTTCCAATCCTAAGACGATGACTGTGCTCATGACGACTCAGGCTCACTGCACAGTAGAGCAACACTGGAAAGTCTAAATGGCTTCAGTTGCAATTTATTGTAGAATCCAGTTTCTAGCATTTTTTTGTAAGAGTTCTTTAGGAGATAAATTATACATTCAAAGTGAGAACTGAGGGTTGAGCTAGCTGTGCGAGTTTCTATTCTTTTTAGGGAAAAAGGCTCAATTAAAACAGGTCATCCCATATTGGAGAAAAGTAAACTAAAAAGGAGAGCCTGTATTGAGTTCAGCTACCAGGGTAAATAAATTACTACACACAGAAACAAATCTGTTCACTACTTTTAAATGTCTTTAATTGTCATAATTATAGCAAGCTTATCTCAACACAGATGTATGGGATACATTCTTAGGAAAATTGCCACAACTGTTGATACTTACACTCAAATGTCATATTTGTATGTTGTACACCAGACACATACAAATGAAATATATTTAAATACACCTACACACCTAACTAAACGTCTTCAGTAAGATACCAATTACACCAACAGAGTAAGCCAATACACAGAACTGACAAATTAAACTAATAAATGGAATGATGTGACCTCTTTACATTTCTTTGCATGTGTGAGCAACACTGGAATGATGATTCCCACTGTCACAATGCTGCTTCCTTCCGAAGTCCTCCGTGTGTGTGTGTGTGTGTGTGTGTGTGTGTGTGCATGCATCTGTGTCCATGTGTGTCCTTGACAGTGGAGGTCAGAAGTCAACCTCAGGTGTTGCTCTGCAGAAGAAATCTACTTAATTTTTGGAAAAGGGGCTTTTATTGGTATTTGAGGTTTATTGATGAGGCTGGCCAGTGGACCCCAGGATTTTACCTGTCTTTACCTACCCAGTGCTGGGATTACAGACAAATGTCATCATGAGCACCCAAGCTGAGATTAAAAGCACACACCACCAGGCTTTGCTTTTTTTTTTTTTTTGGTTTTTCGAGACAGGGTTTCTCTGTGTAGCTTTTGCGCCTTTCCTGGGACTCACTTGGTAGGCCAGGCTGGCCTCAAACTCACAGAGATCCGCCTGGCTCTGCCTCCCAAGTGCTGGGATTAAAGGAGTGCGCCACGACCGCCCGGCGAGGCTTTGCTTTTGATATGGATACTGGGTCAAACTCAGGTACCCATGCCCATGTGGCAGACACTTAAGTGAGTGAACCATCTTCACAACCTGGTAACTTCCATTTCATGTTTTACCATGCTATTCTGTGCCATTCTTACAATAGTCCTGGAGAAGATAATGTACAAAGATACATTTATTCCTCCTAGTTCTGGATGCTGGGAAGTCCAAGGTGCAGCTGTCTCTAGGTTCAGGTTTGCCCATTTACAAAAATGATGAATGCTGGATCCCTCAAAAGGGATGAGTCAAGAGGAAGAGGATGTACTTCTACCAGGGCCTTTCATAAAGCAGCTAATCTTATTTATCAGGGCCTTACTCTCAAGAGTCAATCACCTGCCCAATGCCTTACTTTTTTTTTTTTTTTTTTTTTGGTTTTTTGAGACAGGGTTTCTCTGTGTAGCTTTGCGCCTTTCCTGGAATTCGCTTTGGAGACCAGGCTGGCCTAGAACTCACAGAGATCCGCCTGCCTTTGCCTCCCGAGTGCTGGGATTAAAGGCGTGCGCCACCACCGCCCGGCTAATGCCTTACTTTTTAATACAGCCCCTGGCAACACCTGACTTTGGAGGGGAAACATTTAAGCCACCCTCTACTTTTCTGTCAGCCAATTGATTTTATTTTCCATAATAGCTTTCTCCATTCCCTTTCCTCCTAGAAACAAAAATTTAAAAACTGCAGTCAGTCACCAGGCAAGACTTCCAGTGGAGGGATTGGGATACCAACTCAGCCACATAACCATCGACCTACAGTCTGTCCTGCCTGAGGATGTGCTGGGGTAAGGGGGGCGCAGAGATTGGGGGAGTGGCCAACCAATGACTGGTCCAGCCTGAGACCCATGCCACAAGAGTAAGCCCACCCCTGACACTGCCTGGAGCACCAGGGACCAAAGGCTGGATGGCCTAGAGACCTAGAATAGAACCAAAGATGACTGGAGAAAAAATGTTAACATAATGATGCCTAGTGATATTCTGCTATACTCATAGATAGGTGCCTAGCCCAATTGACATCATAGAGGCTTCATCCAGCAACAGACAGAAACAGAGACCCACAGCCAAACATTAGGCAGAGCTTGGGAAATCCTGCTGAAGAGAGGGAGGAAAAATGGTAGGAGCCAGAGAGGTTAAGAATATGTGACACCTTGCACAACCTTGGTGCAGTGGGAAGGGGCTTGGACCTGCCTAGGCTCAGTGTGCTGGGCTCTGCTGACTCCCCATGGGAGACCTCAATTTGGGGGATGTGGGGATATGGGGTGGCTTGGGAAAGAGGGCTGGGGGTGGGAGGAGGGGGGATCTGTGGATAGTATATGGAGTAAGTAGAAAATTTATGGGGAAAAAAAGAGCAAAACAACTTTATCCTACACACACACACACACACACACACACACACACACACACACACACACAGAATATTACAAGAAAATTCACAGAATAAACTAACCGGAGTTATAGGAGCTCACAGAGACTGAACCAACAATCAGGGAGCTTGCATGAGACTGACCTCTCCAATCTGTTACAGTTGTGTAGCAGGGTCTTCTTGTGGGACTCCAAACAGTGGGAGCAGGGGCTGTCCCTGACTCTGTTGCCAGCTTTAGGGACCCTACTCCTCATACTGGACTGCCTTGCCCAGCCTTAATACAAGGGGAGGAGCTTAGTCTTACTGCAACTTGATGTGCTCTGTTTTGTTGATACTCAGGGGGGACCTGCCCTTTCTTAAACAGCAACAGAAGAAGAGTGGATAGGGGCAGCAGAGGGGAAGTAGGGGGAGAGACTGGGAAGAGAGGAGGAAGGGGAAACTGTGGCCAGGATGCAAAGTAAAAAATATATATATAGGGGAGAAAAGAAAAGACAAGAAAAGAAATTGCCGTCCGTCGAGTGCTGGAGTAATTCATTACTTGTGTTAACCTGTTCTATAGTTGGACTTACGTTTAAGTCACTACTTGGGTTATGGGGTAGAGTACTTATTTATATGACTAAGATTAGCTGTCTTTCCCCTGCCCTCATATAAATCAAGTCATGTGGCCCAGGCCGGCCTGAACTCTAACTCTTCCTGCCTCCATCTCAGAAGACTAGAGTACTAGCTAGCCGTACCGCATCTGGCTTCGGGGCTCCTTTCTCAGTAGACACTTACTCCAGGCCTCTCCTTTCCACTTGGGCTGAGCTTAGTAAATTATTTTAGGTTAAGGGGTATTGCGAAGGAAACTCTGGAGAGAAGAAGAAAAGAAGCTCCTTCAGCTGGCTAGGGGAAGGGTGAGTGGGCTGACCACATGCCCATCTCCCGCTTGCTCCACACAGAACAAAGAAGGGGACTGAAGGATGGACTGCACAGGGAGACTCCCCAAAGTGCTTATAAAAACAGAGTGGCTCTGTTTCCCTGCCATTTTGCAGCTGGGATTCAGGAGTGGGAAGGGAGAGAAGCAAGCAGATAGAGAACACCATTTCATATGCCAAAGGCAATTTTCCTATTAATTATAAGTACTTGCTAAACAAAGAATGGATTGTTTCCAGTGGAATATCAAAAGTTGCAATTAGAAATTAATCTCTTAGGTCAAGTGAAGATACCTGTTTCTAGACTTTATGACTTTAATGGTTAAAAGAGGTTTGTTTCATTTTTGTGGGATGTAAGTAAAAGTAATATTTTATCATAATAACTGCATTTGTTTAAAACTCATTAACCAGGTTGTGGTGGTACACACTTTTAATCCCAGCACTCAGGAGGCAGAGGCAGACAGAGATCTGAGTTTGAGGCCAGCCTGGTCTACAGATCAAGTTGCAGGACAGCAAGGACTACACAGAGAAACCCTGCCTCAGAAAACCAAAACCAAACAACAGCAAAACTCACTTAGGGGGCGAGAGGTGGCTAAGAGCATGTGTTGTTTTCCAGAGGACATGGCAGCTCACAGTCACCTGCAATGCCAGTTCCAGGTGAACTGACCCTGCTCCTGACCTCCTTGATACCAGGGATGCATGTGGATATAAGCAAAACACTCATACATAGAAAATAAACTAAGTAAATCTAAAACTAAACAATCCTTTAATTGCATTATTATAAGAGGAAAACTTATTAAAGTAGTATTGTATCAAAGATGTGCTGAAGAACATTAACAAGGACTATAAAATATACTGTCTTGGTTTCTAACATACTTTAAAAATAACACATTTCAAGGCCAGGAAGTGGTGGTGCACACCTTTAATCCTAGCACTCAGGAGGCAGAGGTAGGTGAATCTCTGTGAGTTCGAGGCCAGCCTGGTCTACAGACAGAGCTCCACAACAGGCTCCAAAGATACACAGAGAAACCCTGTCTCAAAAACCAAAAAACCAAACCAAACCAAACCAAATAAAAACAAAAACATATTTCAAACTATGATAACAAATACACTAGGAAGAATCATATAAATAAATAAAGTTGTACAAGTAGACATATTAGCCGACCCTTAGTACAGATATAATAGAACCTTAAGAAAGGACCAGAAAGAGTAATTTAAAATGTATTAATATTTTAGAATCACGTGTACATATATAGGAAATCAACTCCACTTACCTACAATAACTAGAGAACTAATGTAATATATTAGAACAATCCAGGCCAACTATTTACGCTCTCCAGTAGTGACTGCAAAAATGAGTCCACATGAAGTGATTTCCACAGAAAACAGGCTGGTCACAACAGCAAATCTTGTGGCATATATGCTACCTAATTCCCACACAGTTCTCAGGTTGTTTCTCATTCCTAAACAGCATTTATACCTCTCTTGATTGATAAATATGCCACTAAGACAGGACCGAGGGTTCACAACACATGTGGACAACAATCAAGTTGGAAGAAACAAAGGACAGTGTACAAGAAACAGAAGACAGACTGGAAACTGAACACGGACGGCACAAGGATAAAGCGATCAGTGTGAACATCCAGAAAAACACCCAAAGCACTTTAACTTTTAGAATGCAGTGCTCAGTTACTACAGAAGCATTTTTCATATTAGGGTTTACTTTACACAGAAAACTGCAAATAAATACTGATAAGCCTTCATGGCGTGTCTGATAATCTTTGACAACAACTCACTGCTGTCACTGTGGCCACCCGAGGAACCTGCACATCCTGAGCCTTGACCTCTGAGGCCTTTTATCTGCATGTGTACTCTCCACAGGCATGCAATAAAGGCCAAACGACAATTTACACATGAATCAACTTTCTCTCCAGCACAGGCACCAGAGACATTTCTTTTCTCTGGGCAGAGGGAAAGGCAGCCAGGCCCAAGCTTGTCTCACTAGGAATCATACGTGTGAAACAGTGATTTGCTGGGGAACGGCAGGTCAGCCGAGGGAAGCCGTGGCAAATGCCTGATAAAATGGCAGTCACAAAGGACTAGATGAATATTTAGAGTGAAAATAGGCCCGGCAGCAGCAGTGAGTCTTTATCCTACTTTGAACAGTAGTGTCATACAAACTGAAACAGAGATACATTCCTGATAGGAGGTCACACAAGATACCTAGGCAGGACCTTTAAAGACTCAGGCTTGCTTCTCACACATGCATCCTTTCATCCAGAATGTCTTCAGAATACAGTTATTTCACATGGATGGCATATGAAGACATGGCCCACTTTGATGATGAGAAATCAGTCCTGACAATGTAAAATTAAACAGGTTTGTTCATAGGAAACAGGGAACTCCTTTCACACTTGGAAAGAGAGAATGGATAAGCTATATTTTTTTTCCAAACTCAGAGCTCCTTGATATTTAGTTCAACATTTAAACATTTATCAAAATATGACAATCCATATACTCATAGTCATTCTAACAGAAAAAGAAAGAAGACAACACTTGTCCTGGCTCATTTCACAAAGAAAGGAGATCTACTACTAACTTGATAGTAAGACACCATTACACTGCAGCCTTCCAGTCAGTGGCAGGGAACCAAGTCAGTGAAATTAACACGCCCATTCGTTATTGCTCCACAGCCACATGCCGGCCACACTTCTCTACCTCATGACACATCCGTCTTCTTACGCACCAAGCGGTCCCTGATGCCTTCACATGTCTTCAAAACTTTTGAGGGACTTCTGCTGTAATGCTCCAGCTTTGGTGGAGAAACTAGACACAGAGATTGTTGGTATCGCACACCAACAGACCACAATCTTCAAAATAAATTTTATTCATGAGTTGTAAATAGAAGAAATGTATAATTTGTGATTCATAAAAGGAAATCGTGAATTTTTATTCACTTGGAGTCCAGAGCAGAATCTGTAAATTCCAGATCACAATTCAGACTAAAGAAATGTGAAAATGACTAAGAGTTACAGGATTTAAGTCTTAGAAGTTACAGTGATGAGGTGTGTACATCAGAATTCTGGCATAAAGAGTACTTTACATGCTCAATTATTTCTGTATATTTTTCATACTATGAGTTTTCTCTTTAATCCTTTCAACTGCTTCTCTCATACATCTTTCCCTTTTTTAACACCTCCACTTCAAACTGAAACTTCTTTGCCTCTGGCCTCTTCTCTACCACCTCCTTATTTATTTAGCCATTGTTTTGTTTAGTAGAGGTCAGAATTAGTATTTTTCTTCAGCTGTAAGGTACTAATCACAGGACTCCTACCCGCCACCCAGCACATCCATGACACATTGCATTGCCCAGAATCCTGTTAGCTATTCAGACTATCTTTGTTAGGTGGCCGCTGTTGTTCTTAAGAATTTCTTTTTGAAGGTCAAGACCTTATGTAGCTCAGAATATTTATTATTATATTATTGAGCAAACTTGTAGGTGAATTTATAC